ATTTATATTCCACATAGATATTTTTATGTTGGGGAATAAAAATATTATTATGTTGGGGAAAGGCATCTTCACAATGTTTTTTAACAATTAAACATTGTTATAAGAGCATTAAGAATATAGAGTCCCTGATTGCTGTTAATTTTCCTTCTTCCTTTTTATTAGCCCAAGTGGATTTTGAAATACAATTTGGCAGCTCTTGATTTTCAAACATTCTTTTCACACATCTGTAGGGCTTTCTTACATTTACAGATTAATTCAGATGTATTTTGGCTTCGATTTCTGTCTCAGCAACATGTAGGCTATCAAGGCATTTGATTACCTCACTGGAGAGGATTTGAAATCTGTAAATAAAAATCTGAAATTTGGCTATAGTATGAGTTTGGTGTCTGTTTAGCAGGCAAGAAAACAGAATAATCTCTACTCCATCATTAATACTTCAAGAAAATAAGATGTTCAATAACAAATCATGCCAAATATATTGGTCCTAATTCTCCAGGTCCCATGAGTGTGTAATGGCAAGTGTTCGAATGCCTCTTGTTGCGACAAAAGTTCAAATTATCTATGTTAAATGGAAATCATAGAGTTCAATACTCAATTCTCTGTGTGGTTTAACATTTTGTATTAAGTATTTTTTTTAAATATACAGTCCACATGTGCAGAAATGGGTTTTTTAACAGATTAGGGCTATGAGGACTTAAATTTGTGTGGTTTGATGGTGAAATCAAGGACTGAATGTAGAACAATATATTCCAGTTCCCAGGTAGGCATCCTACCAAATGGGCAGCAAAATATCCTGGCTGTAACCTGCTTTCCTTTCTTCCTGTTGGAGAATTCCCACCTCAAGCAGCTCATTCAGCTGTTCACAAATGACTTCAGGAAACTTTGAGGTGACCAGACAGACCCAAGTTCCTGGCCATGCTGCATGAACACTGGGATACATCCACACTCCAGAATGTGTCAAGGTTATGTCATGCCAAAACACTTTATGGTTTGGGAGGCAGGGCACTGGTCTGGGAAGAAGGAGAGGTTTTCCAGGAAAAGGTAATAGAATGTGGCCTCCAGCTTCCCTGAGTAAGCCAGAGGCTGAACTGTTGGGAAGTCCCACAGCTGAGCTGATTTGGGGCATTTATTCCCAACTTCCCCTCATTTTGAAGCACTGCATTTCCTTTTTCACAGCTCAGTGTATGATGTGGTGCGCTGTTCCTGGGAGCTGTGGAAAAAACAGAAGGCAGGCAAAACTCCAGCAGGGAGGCAGGAACACACTGCTCAAGGAACTGTGAAAAGGGGAGAGGCTGAGGGAGGCAGAAACCTCTGAGTGCAGAATCCATGAACTGTGCAAATTTGTACCACTGCACTGGTTTACCCAAGCTATGAGCTGCAGTCAGCCTAAGTCCAGCAAGATTTCCTAGTCCAAGCCTGGCACCAGCTGTGCTGGAGTTTGCTGTGCTGTGTCCAGCCCAGGCTGTGAGCACAAAATCCCATCCTACACCTCTGTGCCACGTCCTGCAGCACTCCAAGATTTAGGTGCCTCCAAGCTTCAATGTGGGACCAAACACAACCAAGGGTTCAGCACCAGATGTTTTGCGCACACTCACCCCATGATTATCTTAATTTGAACTGGCTTCTGGTCTTACAGGTCCTGATGAATGTCAGCTGAGTCACTTCCCAAACTGCCCCAAGGTAACGCCAGCTCTCCCACACGTCCCAGGGCTGGGATGTCACCACACTGCACTGGACCTTCAACAAGGGAGGATGGCACCTCCTTCCCCTGGAAGGTTTGGCTCTTATCCTTCCCCACCACCATGCACAGTCCTAGGGTGAATAAACCTTTTTTTTTTTTTCTTTTTCTTTTTTTTTTGCACCCAATCTCCCTTCCAAAATGTCATGTTGTTCTAGTTCAGGCAAACATTATTTTTTTCCACTATCACCTACAGACCCCAGGGAGGTGCGTACCATAAAAATTTGATTTTTACAGTAATTCTTTGAGATTTCCAACAATTTTCAAAAGGTTAGGGGGAGGTATTACTGATGCTTTTTCACATTACTGAATTCACTGTAATTTATGGAGTCTGCACAGGCAGAATTACTGAATTACAGTTCTGACTCCTGCATTTTACTGTTTGCCTCTCCCCCTCTTAAGCCCTCATCACAAATGCACTTGAATCTGGGAGACAGCTCTGTCTTTTAACTACAACATTTTAATTTTCAGTCTGGCTGCTGAAGCAGAAACAGCCTTCAAAGTTTTAGCCAAATTCTGGCCTCTTAAAATTCATTAATGAGATCATGCTGGCAACTCACCTTAAATTAAAATGTACTGCCCAATGCTTCTTTCACTAAAAATAAATAATTTCAGGAAATACATCATCACATTAAGGTAACAGTAAACAAATAGATGATTTATTAGCCATCTCTCCCCAAATGCAGTATTTAATAAGCTTTCAAAAGCTGTTCACTAGAGGGATATCTGCCATGCCTTCCTCAGTCATTATCTTAGCATTCAACTTTGAAAAGTGGCTGCTAACTTGAGGGGAAAAATTTATACAGGTCTGTACAGGGAAGAAGTAGGATCAGCTGGAATTTTATCATGAACTGCACCAAACTATGGCCAGAGAAATCTAAAGTGGTTTCTTCTCCACCTTTAGATACAACTGAGACTCTTGTAATGTTGCCCCATCTTCCCCTAATGAAGGGCTCATCCTTGATCTCAGTAACACACAACAGAAATTAATTCCACAGACCCACTGGGCATCATGGAAAGCTGTTTGCCACTGCTAGGTCCATGTTTTCCACCTTTCAGTTCTTCAGCTATACAATAAAAAACACAGAAATGCTGGGTCAGTCTTTCATTAATTTAAGTATTTCTAATCACCATTCTAAAACTGATTTCCCCCCCTCCCAAAAATTGCTCTCCAAAAATTTTTAATCCATGTTTTTCCTTTAGAATCATGGAACCATAGAATGGTTTAGGTTGGAAGAGACCTTAAAGATCATCCAGTTTCACCCCCCCAGCCTCAAGCAGGGACACCTTCCACTCTCCCAGGCTGCTCCAAGCCCTGTCCCACCTGGCCTTGGGCACTTCCAGGGATCCAGGGGCAGCCACAGCTTCTCTGTGCCAGGGCCTCACCAGCCTTTCTCCTCTGAATCTTCTTAGCCTGGATTATTTTTTGTCAGAGAGGGCAAGAGTAACTCTGAAATCATCCCAGAAACCCAAGATTCCCAATGGGGTTACACTCCATTCTGTTCCCAACCCCATCAACATCCATTTTTTGACTGTACTTTTACAGAGCATTCCCTCACATAGGTGAGACTGATCTGAGCTGGCTCATTAAACAATCTCGGGTTTTTGCAAGAAAAGCTGCTCTTACCTTGGTGCTTCACCACAGCTGCCACTCCATCACCACCTCACCCTGGCAGCACTTACCTTGGTGCTTCACCACAGCTGCCACTCCATCACCACCTCACCCTGGCAGCACTGTCCCCTCTGCCTCAGCAGCCCAAGGAACTGCACCAGCAGTGCAGTCCTGCTGTGCCAGCAGTGCAGTCCTGCTGTGCCAGCAGCCACTCTCCTTTTCCAGTCAGCACTCCAGGACATGAAGCCAATCCCAGCACAAAGCACCAGTGTTCACCTTTTCAATAACACTATTTCTCCTTGCCTTCTTAGTCCCTCAGACAATTTTACATTATGTCTCTTAAGGCTTAAAAAATGAAATCTAACTCAAAAAATAAAACTATGGAAGCCTCAAATGTATTTCAATCAATTCTTGATCCATTGATTGAAAATCTCAGATGATGCCAATAGAACAGCAGAACAACTTTCCTCTGCAGAAATCAGTCTTGCATCCTACTAATACTTTTGGTTTTAATTCTGCTTCTAACAATTAAGTAAATTCCTTGGTCACATGAGCAGCCTTTTTAACAAGCTCACTGAAGGATGCTCCTTTGAAATCCTTTCACAAAGTGCACCAAAAATGCACATTTACAGGCTCATGGTACTGAAGTGGTCACTACAGCCCCAAAGCCCTTCAGGATACCCAGCTCATTCCAGTCAGGGTGGATGACTCATGTCAGTTGGCTTCAGTACCCTCTGGATGCGCCAAAAACCCATGAGCTTCATCAGCAGAAAAAAGCTGACTGGTTGTACCTTCCCATTATTCTTTGGGCTGAACATCACAGCAGAGGTTTTCATATTTTAACATTTTCATCCTTCTTTCTTTAAATCCCAGACAACCCAGCAGACACATTCCTCCTTGGGCTTCCTATTTCCAATAAACTGCAACTGTGCTTATATAACTTCAGATAGTTACTTTAAAACAAAATATTTAGGATCCATAATTATTCATGTACCTTGGGTTTGGTTTGGGGGTGTGTGTGCTAAGATTTATTTTTCAAAGTCTTAACCAGGCTTGATGAAACCCTTAAAGCTCAGAGGAATGCAGGACATGCTTCATACCTTACTCACCTTGGCCACAAGCACACCACAAACATGAGGTCAACATGTAATACAAACCTCTGAAGCCCAGGGATGCACAAATGTAAATATTTACAAGGTTAGTATGTCCAACATCCCATGTCCTCTGCATCCAAGCTCATACCCATCCATCCATCCATCCATCCATCCATCCATCCATCCATCCATCCATCCATCCATCCATCCATCCATCCATCCACTGCTACTGAACCACTATTGCTGCTCAGAGAAGGGAACAGCAACCCAACAGAACCCTGGTGGGAGACATTCCAGTTCACATTCACCTGCTGCTACAGTAAAATCCAGAGAAATCAGGGCAGAGCAAACTCTTCCTTGGGTAGGAATTTCTGAAAGATTCAAGTCTGAAATGCATCAAAATGCACTGAGTGTTTGTTTGGATTATCAGCTTCTTGAGAATAACTTGGTAACAAATCACTAAAACCACCTTAAAAACCTGCCTGGGAAAACACTGGCACCAGGTCCCTGCAGGCTAAAATTGAGAGACTTTCTTATTTTTTATGTACACAAAGGCCAAAGTTAATTTTCACTTTTAATAAGCTCATGATTCTTTGTTATTTAATACTCTGTAAAAAGGTATTACAGATTATTGCAGTGACTTCTAAAGAAGATGGACAGCCAAGAGGCTGAAACCACAATATCATATACAGTATGTAGTCATTGATACTACCTACTACAGCATGAAGAAAAATACTTTTAACATAAACAGTATTTAACTGAAAACATAAAAATGGAGCTTTCATTCTTATAGTATGGTTACACAGCTATATTCCAAGAATAACATTTTAAAAAATGCTAGATCTTGAAAGGCCACAGATAAAAAGAGACATGATGAGGATGAACCAGTTTTGCCCAGAAACGCTATAAATGAGCACACTGCACAGTTTTTCAGCAAATCCTAGTTTTACCAAGCCTCAAGAGGCAAAAGCCTGAAATGTAAAAGCTCCCAAGTTGTCTAGCTAGTCCTCCTGTGTTGCTCTGGCAGGCCCAGTGAGCCACACTGCTGGCAGACAGCGTGTCACAAGTGATCCTGGCTGACACGGGTCCCATCGGGAAGAGACGTCCGGCTCCTTACGACGCCAGCCCCAGCAAAAAGCCTCCAACAAAGCCACTGGACACCACAATGTTCTGCTTGATAAATTCTGTTGACTGAGAAGAAAAAGGATATTTATAAAGTTAATTGTGTCTGATGCTAGTATTTAATACTTATCACAACAAGAACACTGAACTTGTGGAGAAGGGTGCAGGGGGAAGCGATGTGTCCAAAACTATATAAAAATAGGTGGCACCAAGGTACTGCAAATTGATTCTCAGCTGTTTTAAAATATTTTCACTCTATTTTAATATTTAATATTAATATTTTATATTTTAATGTTTTTAAAACACAGTGAACCTTTAAAAAGGAAAAATATAGAGGAATTATTACAGCAATTTCATGCCAATACCACTCTTGTTTTGATTAAAATAAGACATGTTTTACAAACTACCTTGTCAAAAAAAGCCTGAGCATCACCATGACTTCAACTGCAATCACATAGTAATTGTTTAAAAGAAAAAATACTGCTTTTTGGAAGATCATTGGAGAAGCCAGTTTCCTAACAACTTAATCCTAGGAAAAACCACTTATGCATGATGACATGGGTGTAGAGTATTTAATGAAGTAGCAGCACAGAGTATAACACCTTTTATCAAATGTGCCATTTATAAATCCTCTGCTTCAAATACTCCAGACTGGCAACTAAGACACAGTTACAAGAAAGTCATATAATCTGAGAGAAAAAAAACACAAAGGAAAACCAAAAGCTCCATCCTATTCACCCATTTCTGCAGGGCAACAGTTAAGGAGAGGTTGAGCTATTTAAGGTGCAGAAGCAGCAAGAAAACCCTCAAATCTTGAACTTTCAGTTCATATTCACATTAAAATTTCAGGAAAATTTAAATCAATCTATATGCAACTCCATACAGACTAAATCTGAGATGTCAAAACTCATTAATTACAGAACACCAGTGTGGCTGCTGTTTCACTGGCTGCAGCACAGTCAGGATTCTCAGTTATTCAGAATGAAACTTAGATTGCATGCATGGAACTGTGAAAAATATGTAAAAACAGTCTTTAAAAAACCCCAAACAGCCACAAAATTGATTAAATGGAAGTCTTCAAATGACAGGGTGAAACAGCCCCAGTGACACTGATCAGTATCACAGCCACCTCTTCTCAACACAGTAGGCAACTGGCAGATTCTGCAGCCAGATATTGTCCAAAATGTGGAAAAGTGAGATACAATCACAACTCCTGCTACAAAATAGCTACAGCTTTTCTGCAGAAAAAGTCATTCTTGTCCAGACAAGTAATTTTATTATCAGCAATCTAAGAAGATTTGGGTTTTGTCTTTGTAGTTACCATGTTTTACCCACACCATCCTGAACCTGTTACCATGTCATGACCTTACTGCCTTTGTCACCTGCCAAGAACAAATTCGTGTGTCATTTTTAACAGTGACCACACCAGAAAGGTGAATGAATAAAAGACAGCACAATCTGATAACTTTAAATCAATTATAAAGCCAAACTATTTTTGATGTGTTCCAGTTTTGCATCTGCATTTTCAACTCATTATCACCTGCAGTGAAGATAAGAAAATCTGACTGGTAAAAAGGAGTTTATCACCTCAGACTCACCTCCTCAATGAGAGTGTTGATTTCAGGAGCTGCTTTATTTGCACGCTTTTTTAACTGTTTTTTTGCTTTGTTTACATCTTTTTCAACTCTCTTCCAGTCAACTTGTACATATCCACTATGGCTAGCAATCTAGGGAAATAAAGGCAGTTAGTACAGCTGCAATTCACATTTCATGAGTCAAAATACATTGTCTTGGTGCCTGTAAAATAGTTTTATTTGCACTTATTACAGATATAGGAAAAGACATTCTTCCAATTTCAGCAGGTTCTCTGCTTCAAACCTTTCCTCAGTGACAGCAGTTCAAATTAGAACAAGCAGTGGCAAAGTTCAAGAGCAGACTCTTGTTAATTTGCCCAGTTCTCTGTTTTTTAGTTATAAAAGCCTTGCAATGTTTTTCCTTCAGTATTTACTGTTACTTTACTTGTAAGAAAAATACATTCATAGGACAACAATGAAGAAACTCTTTTGTTTCAGCTTCTTTCAGAATTGTAGACTTCTGATTTGTGGCAGAGTATCCAGGGCTAATTAAAATCATCATTAGAAACACTGAAAACTCTATTTTATCCTACACAATTTAAACTGTCCAACAACAACAAAAAATGTACTCATTACAAGAGAATTCTCACCCTTCTTACAAAACAAAACCATTAAGTATAAAAATAACACAGCCTGAGAACAGCACAAGTTCTGTAAAATCAGAAAAATGAATACATTTGAGGAGACTGGTTCATACCAATTTAAACATAAACTTCCAAAATTTTTAGCCTGTCTAACCCAAACCTTTGCCTTATTTCTTTTACTAATTTTGATTGGTGAATGTTCTAGAAAACAGTTAAACAACTCATTATTTGGGGAAAAAAAAGAGAAGAAAATCAAAATTAAGGATTACTGCTTATTTTAACTGTTAGGACAAATAGCTATAAACACTGAACTGACATGTAAATCAAAAATGAGGTTTTTTTATCCAAAACCTCTCTGTAAAGTGTGAGATTTCTCAGGTACTTCTCAAGGTCACATGTGGGTGGGAAATCCACCCAATTTCCCAACAGCCTTGTATGCAAACTGTCCAGTTGGTAAACATAAGTCACAGATAATGAACTTTTGTGGAACAGATACTTAAATATACAATTTATTAGGTTTAGCCTAAATACACAATTCATTATGTTTAGTTTCACATCACCTACAGGCTCTGAAGTTTTGACTTTCACATGGATTTTTCTACCAAATAACTGAAATTAGACCATCAAGCTTGTACTACAACTGCCACAGTAACTAAGCAACCTATCTCACCACAAAGTGAGGATTTCATAATCCAGAAAAAAATAAAATTAAACAAGTGCCAGACAGATTTTGTGTGAATTCAAACCAAAACTTCAAGAAGATCACCTCTGCACGAAAGTCAACTTCAGTTTCCACCTCTGCAGAATTAAAAAACCAATTCACTGGACAAATGCAAGATGAACTTAGTATATTTTAAACTCTCTTTTACTTTATGTTTCCAAATGTAATCAATAACAAATTAATTGACTTTGCCTGTCTATAAAGCCATTTATTCACATGGGCACTAGTGCCAGGCAGGGACAGCTCATTAAGGGCTGTCTGTGCAGTATGAAAGCAAAAAACCTGTTTGAAAACTGTACTGGCTGCACATCCAGCCACTGCATGACATACCAGGCAAAGAAAAACAGCTGCACATTGTGGCAATTGTTATTCTGTGAATTTAACATGACCACAAGAATTTCAAAAAGGCCCCAGCATTGAATTGGTGCCTTCTCACTCACACAACTGAAAATTCAATGTGACTGATCTGCTCAGTCCAACACAATGTAAGAAATGCTAATGTATCTGCTTGCTTGTAAAATGCAAATGGCTCTTGGAAGAAACATTTTATTAAGACAACTTTAATTAGCTCAGTTATCCAGAGAGCACAAAGATGAGGCAGAAGTTTTTAATTAAGATCTGTTTGGAACTACTGCAGAGCTTACACTTGTATCAAAACCAGACATCTTTTCTCCCTGAACTTTGCAGCCCTGAAATAAGAGCTTCCAAATTCTACTTATTGAGTGTTTATAAAATAAGCAACAGAGGGTAATGTTTTGAATATAAATTTTTAACTGAGAAGAAAAAAAAACCTGTACTTTGGCAGTGACAGAACCTCTGTCATATCTACTTTGGCTGCAACCCCACTAATTACATAATTTCATATATAAGTGCAGAAATAATACCCCTGAACTCAAATGCTGAAAAAGTAGATTTCAACTTTTAGACTCCAATGTATCACAAAAATCTGCTTGCTTATAACAGCAAATTTACATAATGCAAATTCTCAACATTTACTATTTTTTTTAAACTCAGGTCCTACAACATCCAAGGAAAATACCAATATCCTATTATCATATCCATATTTGGATATATTAAGGAGTCATATAGGTCTATACATATTAATTGTACATTTATTAAAGAGACCTAAGGAAGTGGATTTTGGGGTTATACATGAATTTATATATGATAATAGAATAATAGATATATACTTATCTATGTATTTCATAGTTCATTATTTGTTCAAGACCTTCCAAAAGTGTTGAAAAAATAACAGAATTTTTTCAAAAAGTCAATTGAAGAAATACATTAGTGCAGGAACACTAAGAATGTATCATCTTTCTTGACATTAATCAAGGAAAACTGAGAATCCTCAAGGGCAGAACTCATTTTGGGGGTGATACTGGAGAGGCACACAGGTATTTTGTCACTGTGAAACACTAACATGAATAATGAGCAGAAAAATGGTTTGGAGCAAAAAATCTGTACAGCAAGATGGGAGAAAAGAATTTTAATTTCCTCAAGGCAAAATTGTATATCCCACTGAAAAGTGGGATATTCAACATAAAAGTGAATCCAGCTCTTCCTCACCAAGCCCCCAGCCCCAGAAGCAGCTTGTCCCTCCCTGGGAGTGTCACTGGGGTGGATTTACATGGTTCTTAAGGTCCCTTCCAAGCCAAGGCAAGCCATGCTTGGAACCCCTGATCATCATGGTGCACTGCACAAGATAAAGCCAAGGACATCTCAGAGTTTATTCTGTTCCTTGTGCTGTTTTCACATATTTACCTTTCCTAAATTAGAACATAATTTAATGAAGAATTCAATTTAATTCATCAATGGCATATTAATGGACTGAGGAAAAATGTGTTAGTGAAAGCACAAATAACAGAATAAAAATCCAATTTCATTATTAAATAATAGACAATGCAGAACAGAAAAAGCTGTAATTTGTATGCTCACTGCAGAGCAAAAGACAGTGAAACTGCTCTTGAGGATTTAGGATTTCAAAAATAAGAACAATTGTTTTTAACCAATTCATTATAGTAGAACGAAGAGTACTTGAGTTTGTACCTCCTACTCCAGGATTATACCAAACTGTGCTGTATAAATGAGAAGTTACACAAGGAAAATCCCTTACTTGTTATGAGAAATGCACTATATTTCCTTAATATAGTGCCTGGATATTCCTATTATACCAGCATTTTTGAAGAACTACATCTATTTCACAAAAAAAAACATAGTTAATAATCAAATCAGAATGAATTAAATTAAGGGGTGGAAATATTCACCACAAAGAAGTTGTAACAGATCATTATTTTGAAAAATTGTGCAAATTTCACATAATTTTTATTCTTTTTCTCCAACTACTTTTCACATAATCTGTATAAAGACTATAGCTCTAAACCACTTACAAAAACATGAAAAATTTTTTTTGCTTCCTGTACAAACTGACACTGAATGTATTGCTTTCAGTTTCCTACTTCATTCCTTGAGATGAAGTCATCACCCACTGAAGAAAAAAATGTGGTTTTTAAATTTTAAGACTGAAATGTTTCACTGAATGGGCTTCAGCCAAGAATTTTGCCTTCTGTAGTTATTATTCTTGTTCTAGCATGTAATTATAATGTCAATATTGCAATCAGCAGTTGAAATGAAATCTGCAACTTCAGAGAAATTTACAGATAAAAAGGAACTTTCTAGTAATGTGCTGAAATACTCTTCTGCCCACTCAGGGGAAGCACTGAACACGTATTCATAGAGTCAGGATGTGTGATCTTTAAATGAAAAAATTAAAGACTACAGAAATGTAATTACACCACAGAATTTATGACTCAGCCTTAAAATGCAAAATGTTTTGAATTAAAAGAGAGACCAAGGCATTTACTTCATTTCCTTTCAAGAGAATCTGATCTTACTTAAGATATGGACAATCCAATCAAAATACTTAACTCATATTTCCTCTTGGATAATGCTCCTTCTTGGATTCAGTGTAAATGACATCAACCAAGAAAGGAGACACCCAACCACGTGGCAAATCTACTGCAGGGACAGGAATAGATGCAATGTACTCCCCAAACTTCAGAGCTCAGCAAGGAAAAATCCTGCACAAGTGATGTGTTTTATTCCATTTCCATTCTCCTTTTCCTACAGGTCTCAGCTTTAACTTTCCAGCTCCCTGTGGTCAGGAGCACTGAGGAAGGCACCTGCAGCAATCTGCTGCCTCTGTCTGGCAGCTCTTCAGGCATATTGATAAGAGAATTATCATTAATAGAATTAAGACCAATGGCATACAAAACATGGGAAGAAGAAATAACCAAAGCAGCTCCCAAACAGCAACATTGCAATGTATTACACAGCAGCAGGTACCACCCCATCCTTGCTGATCAGTGCTTGACTGCACCAGCCACTCTAATCAAAAGAAATAAAGCAGGATATGCCTTTCAGAAACCCTCCAGGGTGATGGTGGAAAGAAAAAATGTATCTTTAACCTCCCGTCTCAAGAAATTGTCTGTCATTGAGCCTAAGTAGCACCAATCTATATCACCCAGAACAACGTGAGGAAAAATGAGAAGCTCACAGGTATTAAGGCATGAGAAATGCCAGTAAAATCCTGGCATCTTATAGAAGGACACATGAAATTCTCCTTCACTTAAAGTTTCATCTAATTCAAAGGTTTTTTGGAAATATATCCTCCCCTAATCACAGTATCTGACGAAAAATGCAAATGATCATGCTAGATAACATAATTAAAAACTTCAGAACCCGAAAGCCAGCAGAGAGGAATGCAATGAAGCTGTCAAAATTCAGCCAGGCTTTAGAGATTCAACAGATAAAACATGGCAAGGGGAGAAAACAGAAAACCACAGCTCATCCTGGGACCAGAACAAGCTTTCCAGGCAACTGCCAAAGCAGCCTAAAGCTGTGATAAAATTCTCAAACCAAGGTAAAACAAACACATTTTAAATTCTCCCTAACCATGGGTTTCCAGGCAGTTCCTCTCATCTGGCAACATCAAATCACACACAGAACCAGAGCTTCTGCACTTCAGTTCTCTTGTCTTACAACAAACTATTTCACAGGACAGAGTAGATTCTGATTTACCACTGAGTTTTAGAAATGTCTCTTCTGTACATTTGCACACAATACTCCAGCTCAAATGCAAGGTTTTGACTGATAAGACCAAAAAGATAAAGTAGATAAGAAACCTTCCTAATTAAATGTTACCCAACAGCTGTGTTTTTCCTATTGTTTAGTAAATATATTTGCCAACTTACAAAGCATGAAATGCTACATACTTGAAGGAGAAGGAAGCCACCACCTACTGCAGTTGCTGCAAGCTTTCCAACTTTCTGGAACAAAAATCCCGCACACCTTAGGGGAACAAAACAAAAAAAAACCCAGTCTAATGAAGTTTTCTGCTGAACAATGCCACACTACACAATTACTGACTGCAACTATTACCATTATTTCATTTAAAAAGCAAATGTATCATTTCATATTTACAGATTTAAAAATCAAGGCTATTTAATGGAAGCAATATTAAATTAACAATTTCTAAAGCAAGACAATGTGAGCAATGGTTGCTTGTTCCTTGCTGTCTGATGGCCCCTTTAAAGTAAGCTTGAGATCTCTAGATCTTACTGCTATTAAATGCAGCATGTTAATAAAGCACAGCATAATTACATAACAGTGCTACTGTAACTGTTCCCAAGTGGAATGGAAATCCATGATACCATAATTTATATTAACTGCACAACTCAGAACTGAAAGATCTCAGTAAAAGCAGCACATCCCTACCACAAGAGTTAAATCAGCCAGGGCACTCTGCTGGGACATGGTGTGAAGTCCGTTTTTAATGGATCAAGGCAACCAGAAAATTACCTTGTTCTCAGTCTCCAAACCCTCCCTCATCAAATGGAGAACAGCACAAATATTGATATTGCAGAACAAAGATAAGGCAGGAAGGGGCCTCTGGAGGTCACCTGGGCCAGCCACCTTCCCAAAAGTGCTGCAGAGCCCAATCCAGTCCCAAAGCCCCACCAGGCCGCCCAGAGCCCTGACTCAGACATGAATCCCAAGGCTGATGGTTCCACAACTTCCCTGGGCAATTCCAGGGTGTCTAAACACTGGCCCACACACAGAGGGGAATTTTCCCCCTGCATATAAACAGTGAATTTTTATTTATATACAGCAGTAGGCACCCAGAGATGTGCATCTATAGATACTGAAATGTGCATTTTCCAGCTCATTCAATAAGTCAGTTTTTATGGATGCCAGATGAACTATTCACTAAAAACTTCTGAGTTTACATGTACCCATGTAACTTTTAAAAATAATTTTAAGGCTACAGAAGCAAATTAAAAACTCTGACTGAAAGCTAAACCCACTTCAAAAAGCTGGACTGAGCCTGGGTACAACAATCTCACTTTTAGTATATTTTATCTTCCAATTCTTGCACAATCCCTCTTTAAAAGTCACTGTGCTACCATAATGGTGTTTTTCAATGAATTTACAGTTTTTCTGTGTACTGGAATGGACAAACACCATCCAAATACCTCTGAAAAATAACAAATACCTTTGCTGCTCAGGCTGTGACCACATTTTCCAGTTTAAGTTCTCATCTTTACTGTCTAGCTTTCACCATGAATTATTCTAGAATAACTAGGCTATGTATCAGTTAACATCAGAGCAAACTGTGAATTCACTCAACAAGGCTGCAGTTCAATTTAGAAGAAAAAACAGTGTCCAGGAAATGGGGCTCTTAATTAAAAGTATATTTTGTCAACCTTTTTTCCTCCCTTCATTTCTTTCACCTGTAAAGTATGTCTCAGCCATAATATAACCAAGTTTCTAAATCCAGACTAGTAAGGAAATAAGCTTTTCCATACAAAATAAAAGCTACGTGCATTTTCCATTTATTTCTTGTCATTTTAGAGCTCTGACATTTTCCCAAATCCTTTCCACAGTAACTACTATGAGTTCCCTTGGATAACTGATGTTCCACCACTATTAAAAACCACTTCACAATGATGAGTCAGAGTAACAAGCTAAAATTGTTCACACACGAATAATCTTGATCAATGCTAAAGGAAATCCCATTAAACATAAATTTATCTGCTTCAAATACCCTTGGAAATGGATCTTGTAACAAAGTTATGGGAAGGGAAGCTCCCTCACCAGCCAGTCACACCTCCCATGACAATCTGGGTGGCCACAGAGTATTTCTCTACAATGGGTCCTGAGCTGCGGCCAAACAAGCGGTTCCACCAGTGGTGACGCCGAGCGTATTCTGTCAAATCCAGCACTTCGTAGGAGTCATCGTCACTGTCGTGCTCTGGGAAGGAAAAAGCAATTTTAAAAAGTTATTTTCTCAGTTGTAGAGTAAATTAATGATTTATGTCAAAACCTCAGACCCAATTTGGGAATTAACTGGGTAATCCAATGGTGTAAATTGTAGTGTGCAAGCTACCCAGGGTCCAGCAGCTCCCAGAACAAAGGATTTGGGGATGCTGCGCCATCACCAAGGAAAGGTGCACAAGGTTATAGCAGTGTATAATCTATAAAATCCATGACTGGCACTACAAAGGTGAACCAGAATCCCCCACCTGCTCAAGTACAAGAACCAAGAGGCATCAGATGAAACTATCAGTTAGCTCGTTCAACACAAAGAGAAAAAACCCAACAAAAACAAAAACCAAAGGGACAGACAACACTTGGAAAGATTAAGAACTTGTGGCCCAGTGCTCTCCTCAGAGGACAAGGCATTAGAGACTTCTGTCCCTTTTCCAGATGATGCTGAGACTTCAGTTAAGTTCCATGTTCACAGGACAATTCTGCCAATGTTTTCAAAACAGGCATCACACAGCTTCAAATTAACAGATCCTCAACACCCTGTATACCTGAACATCAGAGGAAAGAGATGGGTCTAGATTTTTAAATAAACATATTTTAAAAGTGTATCACATTCTATGACATACACACATGAACTGAAGTCCACTTTGTTTAAATATATTTAAGGTTAAATCTAAACTCAGCAATACCGGTTGGACATTCCAGAAATTAGGAGCAGTTATATTATGACCTAGAATTATTACCTAGAATTAAAGTAAGACTGTAGATATAAACATTTTATTAGAATTTTGACAGCTTTATAATTTGTACTAACAGTATGGGTAAAAATTTCAAAGACTGCAAGAAGTACACATGTAGGTGTGCATTATTTCCCTTTATTACCACATGGTTTTTTTTTGAGTATTAAATAATAAATAGTGAATCCACAATGTTAAAATGTTGCTATTGAGTGTTCTTTCTTTGAGGTACTGAGGACAACATATTTAACTTCTTTAGATGGAGAATATGAAAACACTGTGACGAATGGCTACATTAATTCTGCCCCTAAATTATTATTATTTAAACCAAAACTCGTGTACACAAGTATAACACGCTCTGTGGCAAACAACACAGCCAGAGCGTTTTCTACTGATAAAAGATACTCCCTGCATGCGGCAAAGATGTTCTGGACATGGCCCAAGCACATCGAACTGTGCCAGTGCCGGGAGGCGCCGCACGACGAGGCCACGGCGATGCCCCGAGAGCCCCGCACGGCGAAGGATGCGGCGGCCATGGGGGCATGAGGCTCCCGCTTCCCGTCCCGCATCCCCCCGGCACCTCCGGCTGCGTGGCCCCTCGCTCGGCCAGCACTCGTTCTGCCTGCCTAGAAGGGGTTTCGGTGGTTAAACCCGGGAAGGAGATTCTGCCCGGGTGATGCGCCGGGCCGCGCGGTGAAGGGGGGAACACGCAACGGACTGGGGAGGCGCAGAGCCCGGGCCCTCCCTCCCCGCCCCCGGGACGCAGCGCGGGCAGCGGGAGGGGGCTGCCCGCCGCCTCCGAGAGGAGGAAGGGCGCCCGCCGCGCCGCCTCCTCCCCGCTCCCGTCAGGAAGGGGCCAGCACTGACCTGAGGCGGAGCGGGGCCGCCGCGCCGCCATGTTGGCCGGTGCTGAGGCGGCTGGCGGCCTCCCCGCTGCGCCCCCAGCGGCCGCGCGCGCCCCGCCCCAACGCGGTGCCGCCCCCTCGCGGTCGCTCCACGCATGCGCCTCCCGCCCACCCCCCCCTCCAACCGGGGTGTCCCTGAGCGGGGAGGTGAGGGGAGCTGAGGGGACGGGGGGCGTGGTGTGGATTTGGGAATCGTGGGGAGTCCCGAGCGGAAAGGGACCCGCAGGAATCATCGAGTCCAGCTGCCTGCCCTGCGCAGGACACCGGAATACTGCAACCATGTGCCTGAGAGTTATCCCACAGCTGCGTCAGGCAGCTGTGACCGCTGCCTGGGGAGCCTGTTACATCCCCAGCCACCCTCTGAAGGAAGAACGTTTTCCTAATACCCAACTTAAACCTGCCCGGACACAACTTCAGGCCATTTCCCAAGTCCTGTCCCACAGAGCAGAGATCAGTGCCTGCCCCTCCTGTTCCCCTCTCAAGAAGCTGTGACTGCGCTGAGGTCTCCCCTCGGTCTCCTCCAGGCTGAACAGACCAAGCGCCCTCAGCCACCTCTCACACGGCTTCCCCTCAAGGCCCTTCAGCATCCTCGTTGCCCTCTTTTGGCTTCCCATCAATATTTCAATATGTTTCTTGCATTGTGGCGCCCAACACCGCGCACAATATTCAAGCCTGTGCCGTGAGGGGCTCATTGATCCCAGTGATGGGGATAAGAACCCCAAAGCCTTCCGAATATCTCCAGCCGTATGTGAGAACAGAGCACTGGCTGCAGGCATGGCTGGACAGCAGCTGCATGCCACGAGCCCCGTAAAAATTAATAACCAGAAAAAAACAAACACAAGGCCCCCTCAAAGTACAAAGGTTAAAGCCAATGTGAGCTGTGAAGCATTGGACAAAATTAAATTTGAGCCGTGGTGTGCTCCCGCCAATGCATTGGTGGGGTTTCGATGGGCTAAAAGCCACATAATTGTATTTTCTTACTTTTTTTCAACTGTATGCAGCCATAATATAGAGGTGGCTGACACAGTAAGTGCACCTTCAGGAACGTTATCACAATGTGAATGAAGAAAGCATCAGTGAACATAATTTATAAATAATAAAACTGAAAACAAATTATTTAAAAGAGTTTACAGCCTCTCTCCCACTTGGACTCTTACACTGCCAATACATAAGACAGGCAATTATAATGGAAAAAATCCACTTTTCCCCATGTCATAAGGCTATTTATTTTTATGGAGAAAGCATTTAGGATTTTAATTAAACCCCTTAATTACACCAGCCTTTACAGACATACCAAAAAAGGAGAAAATGTATCTTCCACAAGAAGGTCCTTCTTTAGTCTGCTCTGAAACTGAAATTAGCATATAAAACTTGAAATTAGTGTATAAAGTGGTTGTTTGCTTATTAAATTGTTTTTATTACAAACATTTGCCGTTGTGATAAGCAGGTGACAGCATGCCAGACAGAACTAGTAATATATTGCTTTCTCTAAGATTTTCAAGAGATATATATTCCTATATGGAACACAGATTTGTCTCTTATGATTTGTTTTGACAAACACTGTGCATCTTGAGAGTTTTCTTGTTTAAGCATAAAATTGCTGGGTTTGGTATTCACTTCCCAGTCAGTAACAAAGTGTTTATTCACTTTTCCCAGTCAGATGCCAGTAAGGTAAGAGAGGTGACCAGAAAGTTTTGCTCAGGTTGTGTGAATCTGGCTATTTTTGTACCTTTTGTATCTTGAATTCATAATATTTGACTTCCCTATTTTTAACTATGATCAGTTAAAAATAGCAGCACTTCTCAGATGACTTTCTCCGTGTCTGTACAAACAATTATATTAATTTTCTTTCAGAACAGGGAGGTTTGTATAATTAGCACTTTTAAAAGATTAACATTAGAAGCTGCATTGTGTTCTACATGGGACTTCTGTTTGCCTCCTTTTGCACCCCTCTTGCCAAGTCAGGGCGGTGTGGCACATGACAAGAAGGAGTTTAGGAAAGACCCAGTTTTTGGCAGATTTTAGGCTTGTGGTATCTCTGTTCTGGGATCAGGGTGCACCCCTTGCCCAAGACAAGACATTTCCCAGTGGGTTCCAGTTGTGTAGGATGCAGTGGTGCTCCCAGCCTGCTCCTGGTGCTGTGAGTGAGCCTGGTGTCTGCCCAGGATCTGCGGACACTGCCTGGGGGGTTGGCTCAGTGCTTGCCTAGAAAATGCCATCAGGATTGTTCTTGCTTCCAGCAAAATCCATACCCTGTGCAGAGACAGCAAAACTTGTGGCTCCAGAGACCAAGAATAACTGGGAGAGCTTTTACCAGCCCCACTGTGATGTATAAAATTCCCCAAGCCCATTCAAATCTCATGCACACTGATGCCTCCTTCAAGCTTTTCATGGCAGATTCTGACAGATTTTCCAAGGAAAGGTGGACAGTTTAAACTCAGGCCTCATTTTGGCTTCACCCTTAAAGGTTCTTCAGGAACAAAATGTTTTCCTGTATCATCAGAAGCACTGATGATTGCACAGAAAAATTGTTCTCTTTGCTCTATAAGCCCTGGTTACAAGTTCAGGCTGTGCAGCCACCCTCTGTCTTTGTACGTGTGACAAGCAGGTTTGCTGTCACAACTTGCAAAGGAACATATATGGCACACAGGTACCTTACAAATAATAAAAAGCTCCACAATATGCAACCAAAACCACCAAAAACCAGAAGAGAATCCCTCAATCTTCAAATGCCTATGTGACTCTAATCCTAGCAGCTTCTTTGTGCTGCTGACCAGAATTCTAAATTGGGACACACATCCTTTAATTTTTTACCATCTTGCATGATTAATTATAAAAACTGAAGGCAACACACACTGCCAGCTATCTCACTAAGCCTTACTTGTGAGTGAAACTTGTGTTCTCCACAGATTTAACCTAGTAAATGCAGTCAGAATAACCTGGCAACAAAGGCATTGGAGCAAATGGATGAATCCTTTTTAAAAACCTGAGTGGACGTGCTGTTATTCAAAGCTCAGTTGGCTGGAAAATGGCAGAGAAATGCCTGGGAAGGAATTTGGGTTCCAAGTCCATCAGGATTCTGGGCAAGGGCTGTTGTGGGGTAATAACTTGAACTGTTAATGCTGTAGGAAGTTCCATGACTTCCTCACAAAGAGCAGTGCAAGGGCAGGCACTGATCTCTGAGGTGACCAGGGACAGGACCTGAGGGAATGCCATGAAGTTGTGTCAGGGGAGCTTTAGTTTGGACATCAGGAAAAGATTTTTCCCCTAGTGGGTGGTTGGGCACTGGAGCAGTTCCCCAGGGCTGTGGTCACAGCTGCAAGCCTGACAGAGCCCAAGAAACATTTGAATGCTTCATATGGTTGGATTCTTGGTGGATGGGCCAGGAGCTGGACTTTGATGATCCTTGTGGGTCCATTCCACCTCAGGATATTCCGTGATTCTGTGATGTTAAAATTAAGATAATCCTCCCTGTAATTATGATGTTAACAAATACATCCTCATGTCTCCTGCCATCTGCATGTGAGGTTTTGGATGACTTGCTTGTATTTCTTGTCTTCAACCTTCCTTGTCAGTTTTCTTTGTAAAATGTTTGTTGTGAGGTTTAACAAAATTTAATTGTGAGAATTTTTTTCTTGTTTGTGAACATCATTAAATTCTGCTTTTCGGTTTTGTAGTACTCTAACTCGATAATAGCCTCTTTTATCTTAGAATCACAGAATAAAAGAGCTTTAACATGATCAAGCCCACCCATAAATCTTAATTCATTTATCCTAATGAAATTTAAGTTTATAAGTTCCCACCACAATCCATGTGGAGGATACAGGGGCAGAGAAAGATACATCTGTTGTCTCCATTAACTAACAGGAGTTTAAATTGTCTCTTGCTGAAGAATTCAACTGATACAAAAAGAAAACCCAAGTTTAGTGTGCTGTGGGAGGTGTTTAAAGTGGTAATAACCAAATAAATCACCCAGGTAAGGTTCACTGGATCCACAACACCTGCATTTTACTTATTAAACAAAACTGATGGTTAGTGTCAGGTCAGGCTGCAGTAGGACACGTTCCCATGACCCTAGCCTGGAAAAGTAAGGAAATAAAAATTAAAAGTTAAGAGGGGGATTGATCTTTTGTGTTAGTTTTGTTTACTATATTGTTAATAATGCAAGCTGATTATCCATTAATCTTTTGATCTCAGCTCTGATGAGTTACCAGGCTTGGGGCTGCAGCACGGAGCTCTGACCGTGACCTCCTGCTATTGTGTGAATCCCATGCATGCCCTGGGATGGTCGGTGTGCCGTGCCCGTGGAAAAACGGTGGGACCACGGCCCGAGAGGAGCCGTGAGCCTGTGGAAAAACGGTGGGACCGCGGCCAGAGGGGAGCCGGGTAGCCGAGCCAGGGGCAGAGCATCCCTGGGGCGGAGCTGAGCCCATCATTCCTTCAGGATCCCCCCTGGAGGCAGCCAGGGCTCCAGCCGTGGCAGCAGGGTGCAGGAGGAGATGACTGCAGTGGCTCAGGAAGGTTCATCTTGCACCGTCAAAATGCTTAATAAAAACTGGAGCGTTCAGCTAAATTTGAGGCTTCGTGTGATTGCCCAGGCAAATAAAGGGCAATGAGGAGAACTGGATCTTAGGAAGTCTTGCAAGGCTCTGGAAGGTTGTCTTCAATCTGATACAAGTGTCTCTCTGTTGTTATATTCTTGTTTAAAACTTTTCTCCACATGTAAATTGACTTTTTTTTTTAATGAAAGGGTTCTGCCAAGTCGGTATTCTTAATTTGGTTTTTTATAAGTAAAACATAACAGATTTTAAATTATCTGGAGGTAACCTTTTGTTTACTGTATGTCCATATGATAAAATTTCAGAAAAGTGTGCTGACTGTAGTACTGCATTATTTTAGGGAAGTTCTTTAAACAGCTTTGAGCTGTGATCATGAATATAGTGATATATTTTGATTTCAAGTTCTTCTTCAGAGATAAATATCCAATTCCCTTGGTAAATCCTGTAGGTGTTCTGGAGTTCCCTGCTACTGTCACTCAAGTACTCGGACAAACCAGCAAAG